ACTAAATAGGCACAGCTAATTGAGGATCCTGTCAATTAACTACAACAAACACGAAGTTGAACAAATAGAGATTAAACTAGCAATTTGTATTCACATAAACAAGAAGTTCATCACCCAATAGGTTCCATCAAAACCTTAGACAAGGAATTTAGCTACTCATGGCTATGGGAAAATAAGCTAAGATAGAATTCATCATAAAAATCAAAAGTAAAGAAGAAAGATGTTTGGAGTATTCTCTCACAATGGTTTTCCTTGCTAAGAAACCCTAAAAATCAATAATTTTTTTCTTGGGCGAAGTCTAATGTTTTAAATAGGGTTTAGGTCTAAAAATCTCGTATTTGACACTTTGACCCCTGAACTTTTCTGCGCCTGCCGCGGTTCTGCCGCGGTCGCGGTAGAACCGCGGCCAATCACCCTCTCTGAATCTCTAAAGTTCTGAAGCTGCCTTCCACCGCGGTTCTGCCGCGATCGCGGTAGAACCGCGGCCAAACCATTTTTCTGAATCCTAAGGGCTGGCAGGGCGTAGCTTCATTGGGAATTTACACATTTGGCCTCTTTTCTCCAATTTTGACTCCAAAACTGCTCCTTAGCCTTCCTTATACATATATCACCTGCAAATCATGAAAAGCACTAATAAGAGCATTTTGTTATCACTTTTAGCATTAAAACTACACAAGAAGATGATTATTTAAGGTGTGATTATAGTCAAATTCACCTATTATCATCTTCTCTTTATTTTTTCTTGGTCTATCAAGAAAAGTTCAAGGGGGTCTAGTGATACTTTCTTCAGTTTTCACTACAAGTTTAGCTAATGCATTGACATATGAAGAGGCACTTCAGCAATCAACTAAGTACTTCAACAGCTGATTTTGATACAAATGCCTTTGTTGAAACTGTGACAAATGGAACTTGTTTAACAATAGCATTACTCAGGATAAAAATTTTGTCTGAATAAGTAACAGGTCTAGTTCACTTAAAATTGAATATTCAATATATGAACAGAAATCGCAGGAAACAAGAACAGTTGCATTATTGATATCAAAAGCATGGAAAATAAAGTTATGAATAAAAACTCTAATGGTGGAGATAGTGCATTGGTGAGATTAAGGACTTTTTTGAATGCGGGATAAAAATGTCAGATTCATAGTGCATTCATATCTTTATACAGTGGAGCATGTACTTGCTTAGGGAATATAACTGCCTTGTTTGAGTTGAGTTAGGAAGATGATTGGTTGTATCTTCTGAGTTGTTAGTTAGAAATTGGTGTATTTAGCACCAGGATAATGACATTATGTGCAATAAGGGAGACCAATTGTTCATGTATTATCTATTGTTCTGGTGATTGTACTGCATCTGTTTGGAATATAATTGCTGAATGAAATCAACATCAAGCTCCCTAAATAAGCTGCATTGAGTCATTTATAAACAGGAGTTAAGATGAAAAGGATACTTGTTCCTGGATTTGGATTAGTTAACAATTTCAAGGAAACATTTGCTTTTCAAGAGTAGCTATAGGAGATCATATAATTGTTCTCTAGACATCAGTGACCCTACTTGCTGGTACATCTCATCTTGCATCAATCTATATTTTTAGTCCTAAAAGTATCCATTAAACAGCTATATCATTTTCGACGTTGATGTTCTGTACCTTGAGATTCTAAAACCTGGGCTGGTTTCAAATTATCTAGGAGATCCATCAAATAAGATTGGACATCAATGTGGCTGCCTTGTGCAAGTGTTCCGGATATTGTTAGAACATGCGCAGCGGAAGCAAGCATAGCAACCAGGCATCAAATACATGTAAACTAGACAACGCAATAATAATGAGATTAGAAGCACTAACCTCTTGAAGTAGTTGCACAAACCTTCCAAACAGCAATAATCCAAGGCTGCAGTCTTCTGCTATTTGCCTAGTAAAACCTTGGACGATTTTACTATTGGGTGGGCAAGAACAATACAACTCTAAAAAGTGAGTTATTGGGTGAAATTAGTCTTCCTTTAATAGAGTTATTTTTGGCCGAAAATCCTCCTCCAAAAACTTGTAGGATTCTCCTTCTACAAGTAGAATCCTACTCTAAATCTATTAGATGACTTTTCTCCCAAGTCACTTTTTACCCAAGTCTTGTCCAGGTTTTTACTAGGTATAGCAGGGACCACAGAAATAATAAGAGGCTACCAATTATAGTATTAATTCGAAATTAGCATGAATTAATTCTTACTATAATTAATTGCAATTTATTCCACTAAAAAACTGCAATTGAACTCCTCAATATGAATTTCGAAAATTCAAAAACACTTATTTTAACTCTCCATGTTAAGATCTCAAATACCAGTTAATTAAATTAAATCACTGAAAATTTACTTTAATCAACTAATTAAATCCTTTACAATTTCGCTTAAAACATTTCATGTGACGGATACAAAATCCACTGGCCGGGTTTTCACATGAAAACTTATAAGCTTACATAAAGGGGTATCATCAAACTCAAAAACCGAGTCATGGATTCTATCAACTAATTGTTATTCACAAATGTTATTTGTTATTGTCCAATCTATTAGGCATACACTAACTCTAAATAGAGTCGTACCTTTTGATAAATCAAAACAATAAACAAATTACATTGATCATAATAATCATATCAAGATTAGGAGTATAAGCTCATTTAATGAATTAGAGAAAATATTTTATATATTCAGTACAAAAAATATCTTTTCTCTACTTGGTCCATTCAATATACACTGAGTATACTAGCACAAGAAGTTGGAGTAAAACTACTCCCATAATCAAGACAAATTATACTGTAATTTTGTGCTACAATCATCAAGATATTTTGTCCAACAATATCTTTGATTGTGAACGTAGTTTATTAATTATGAGAACCAACAATTTAATCTTCTGTGCATGAGCTAAGACTCCATACACTAAATTGTCTACTACATAACTAAAAGGACACACATGTAACAAATGATCTATTTAAAATAGTACTTTATTGAGTTGAATAAATGAAATAAATAATTGTTCCATAAAGAATAAAATATAATACTATGTCTAAACCGTATGGTTAATAGTATATCCCAACAATCTCCCACTTAGACTCATAACTATGCGTCTACCACTCTAACACCCATTCCTTCTACATGCTTGTCAAAAATCTTTTGTGTCAAGCTCTTTGTAAACGGGTCTGCCAAATTGTCCTATGACGCAATCTTCAACACTCTTGCATCACCTCTCTGAGTTATGTCCCGAATTAAGTGATATTTACGCTCAATATGCTTACTCCTTTTATGGTTTCTTGGTTCCTTCGAGTTTACAACTGCACCATTATTGTCACAATAAAGTACAATTGGTGCTTGAACCGAAGGAACCACATTAAGCTCTTTCAGAAAGTTCCTGAGCCAAACAGCCTCTTTAGCTGCCTCAGATGCAGCCACATATTCGACTTCCATGGTGGAATCAGCAACACATGATTGCTTGATACTCCTCCAACTTATGGCTCCACCTCCTAAGGTAAAAACATATCCTGAGGTAGATTTTCTAGAGTCTCTATCTGACTGGAAATCTGAATCAGTATAGCCAATGGGTGCAAGATCACCTGAGTGATAAACCAACATATAATCCCTAGTCCTCTTCAAGTACTTGATTATATGCTTAACAGCAGTCCAATGTTCTCGACCAGGGTTAGACTGAAATCTACTAACCATGCCAACAGCAAAGCAGATATCAGGTCTAGTACATAGCATAACATACATAAGACTCCCTACAGCAGAAGCATATGGGACCGCCTTCATCTTTTCTATCTCATCAGTCGTTTTTGGGGACTGATCTCTTGACAGAGAGATTCCATGTCTAAAGGGGAGAAACCCTTTCTTGGAATCTTGCATGCTAAACCTGGTGAGAATGTAATCAATATAAAGTGCTTGGGGACAAGCCTAATATCCTTTGCTTGCGANACTCATCAAGACTTCCATTTAGAAAAGCGGTATTGACATCAATTTGCCAGATCTCATAATCGTAATGAGCAGCAATGGATAAGAGAATCCTAATGGATTTAAGCATGGCTAC